GTGCAACCTGTTGCCTACCTACTGTTGGTTCCGGGATCATCATCCCCGCGGCCCGGTCTCTGACCAGGGTTCCTATAGTTGGTGATCTGTCGCTGGCAAATGCTCACAGCCTGACAGATGAATCACAGCCTGGTAGATCAGGTATCCTTTGAAGGTGTTTATCCGGTTCTCTCGTGAACACTGTGAGAGGTCGGCCAGTTCTGCCTCTTACTGTAGAGGGAGAGTGTTGCGAACTCTTGCATGTTGACACTTCTCTCAGTGTACTAATTGGGTAAAAGTTGGTTCGTACAGTAGATGGCCCTCTAGCGGATTTTATACCCATCTTTACGTAACCTAACCCAACCTAACCTAACCTGGGTTCCACGAATGGCAGCTGAGTGGACAGCGCTTCGGATTCGTAGTCCTAAGGTTCCGAGTTCGATCCCCGGTGGAGGCGGAGACAAATGGGCAAAATGTTTCTTTCACACTGATGCCTGATGCTGATTAGGGAGCCAGTCGGCCGAGCGGACAGCACGCTGGACTTGTGATCCTGTGGTCCTGGGTTCGATCACAGGCGCCGGCGAGAAACAATGGGCAGAGTTTCATTCACCCTATGCCCCTGTTACCTAGCAGTAAAATAGGTACCTGGGTGTTAGTCAGCTGTCACGGGCTGCTTCCTGGGGGTGGAGGCCTGGTCGAGGACCGGGCCGCGGGGACACTAAAGCCCCGAAATCATCTCAAGATAATCTCAAGATAGCCCCCTGTTACCTAGCAGTAAATAGGTACCTGGGAGTTAGACAGCTGCTCTGGGCTGCTTCCTGGGGGTGGAGGCCTGGTCGAGGACCGGGCCGTGGGGACACTAAGTCCCGAAATCATCTCATCTCAAGATAACCTAACCCAACCTAGCCTAATATAACCCAACCTAGCCTTACCTAACCCAACCTAGCCTAATATAACCCAACCTAGCCTTACCTAACCCAACCTAGCCTAATATAACCCAACCTAGCCTTACCTAACCCAACCTAGCCTAATATAACCCAACCTAGCCTTACCTAATCTAACCTAAAACTTAATCTCACCTAGCTAAATGCATCTACATCCCATCTAATCCTTATACGATATATAAAGTTGTTCATATTTCACAACGACGTTGAAGCTGAGACCTGAGCGTACGGCGCCGCCGGGTCCACACGGCTATCCTCCTAGCAATCATGAGTGCGGTGTTAGTAGCTATATAAAGGCTATCTGTGCCGGGAGAGAATACAGTGTTACCAGATGAGACAGTGGCCAGCGCCTTGAACCCGGCACCACACCTCTCGCTGCCCTTCACAAACCTGTTTCTTGGCTCTAATGCAGTTTTTTATTTTATCGAAGGACCTTGAGTCGCATTATCCCTTATTCTATAAATCGGCTGATCTGTAGATCGCCGGATTTTTGTCTAGTGTTTATTTTGTTATTGTTTTTTTGGTCTGTAGATGTAGTTGTGTGGCATTGAGGATAACAAGGGAACAAGGAAAGTACTTGTTCTCTGTGCTAGCGCAGTTTATTTGTTTAAATGACAAAAGACGCCGTCCTAACACAACCATATAATATAATTAAAACAAAAATAACCTCAGGCACTCTCATTCGTTTAAACCGCAAGCTCGAAATTTGGTCTATACACGATATATGTACATATATATACATCTATGTATATATGTGTAACGTAGTCAGAATTGCAGTTCACCTTTGTAAACGCACACATTAACCACATAATGTGTAAGCGATCATACCACAAACACTATGCAGGACAGACGTAAATGTAAGTATTTACATATGTTGGTTAGCCTCGTAAAAGCACTACAGTCACGCCCTGTGGCTGTGATGGATTCGAGCCTTGCCTCGGGCCGGGCTCGGGGAGTAGAAGAACTCTTAGAACCCTCTCCAGGTACGTTCCAGGTAACCCATTAAATCACTTAACAGCATGATTTCCAACAGATCCCTAACCCTGTCCATGGAGGACAGAAGAAAATGTATATATATGCGAACAAGCCTGAATGGTCCCCAGGACTATATGCAACTGAAAACTCAGTTGCATATATATATATATATATATATATATATATATATATATATATATATATATATATATATATATATATATTATATATATATTATATGGAGGACCTATGGCAATTCCACGACCAAGAGATGGCTTCCTGAACCTTGCAGGAATTAACCTCACTGAGGACCAAGTCACTCTCCTAAATCTGGGCATAAACTGTCATGTTATGTCCAGACCGAGTGAAATGGCCCGGAAAGTGGAGTTGGAAATTCTGTTGGACGACATATTCGACCTCGAGACACAAAAGAAGGTCACTACCAAAGATACCTTACAAGCAGAACTTATTGCAGAAGGAGGAAAGAATCGAGGCAACTACAGAAGCACCATACTGTCCCCCGAGCTTAGAGCGGCAGCTAAAAGCCTTCGCGAGAACAAGGAGATAGTTGTCAGGAGAGGTGACAAGTCGCCAATATATGTCATTCTTAAAAAAGACGAATATCTGGCGAAAATGAACATCATACTCTCTGACCAAACTAAGTTCCAAAGGGTAACGAAGGACACTACAGCCGAATTAAAAGCAAAGGTCAACAAACTGATCGAAACTGTGAACGCCAAGAAATCCGGACTCCACCTGCCAAAGATCATTGGGGAATATAAACCTGGATATGCGTATGGAAATGTCAAGACGCACAAGCCTGGAAACCCACTTCGGCCAATCATTAGCCAGATACCCACACCCACGTACAGATTGGCAAAGCGACTCAACGGCCTGCTGACTCCTTATGTTCCTTGCGCCTTCAGCCTGAAGTCTCCAAAGGAATTTGTGGACTTACTGCGGGGCGCACGGGCCACAGGGATAAGAGCCTCGTTGGACGTAGAATCGCTGTTTACCAACGTACCTGTGGACGAGACAATCGGAATGATAGCCGACAGAGTGTATCGTGATCCAGCCTGTACTCCTCTTGACATGCCAGAAAGTATTCTGAGGAAACTACTCCAAGCTTGTACTAAAGAGGCACCCTTCTTGAGCCCGGATGGGCATATGTATAAGCAAGTAGATGGGGTCGCTATGGGTTCTCCCCTAGGTGTCCTGTTTGCAAACTTCTACATGGGTACCATCGAGCAAAAAGTCTTAGTCGACATGAACTTGAAACCGGCCATATACTGCAGGTATGTTGACGACATTTTTACACAGGTACCTGATGTCAGACATCTGCAGGAGCTGAAGGAGGCATTTGAGCAGAGTTCCGTGCTGCGTTTCACTTACGAGACGGAAAAGGATGGGAAGCTGCCTTTTCTAGATGTAACAGTCATGGAAAAGGGCGGAGGTTTCCACACTGCAGTCTACACAAAGGAAACAAACATAGGAATGTGCCTAAATGCCAACAGCGACTGCCCTGACAGGTACAAGAGGAGTGTTGTTAACGCATACGTCGACCGTGCTCTCAGCCACAGCTCAGAATGGAAGCAAGTCGACGAAGAACTCTGTAGGGTAAGGCAGGTTCTAGTCAATAACGGCTTCTCCAATGGTTTCATCGAAGACATCATAAGAAGGAAAGTGAAAAGCCATGCAACCTCTGAAGAGACAACTAACACAACACCTATACCCCCTATTAGACTATTTTACAGGAACTTCTTTTCCACAGCTCATAAAACAGAGGAAAGGGTCCTGAAAGATATTGTTAATAGAAACGTTATCCCTACAGACAAAAATCAGAGGATACAACTGACGATTTACTATAAAACCAGAAAAACGGCCAGCCTACTCATGAGAAACTCTCCAGACACGAAACAGAACGCTTTAAAAGAGACTAACGTCGTCTATGCCTTCAAATGCCCACTTGGGGACTGTAAGCTCCAAAAAACCCAGTATATAGGCAAGACAACAACATCTCTTTCTAGGCGTTTAACGATGCATAAACAACAGGGCTCCATTAAGGAACATATAATCTCTTCCCATAACCAAACCATCGCCAGAGAAATCCTAGTAAACAACACAGAAATCATCGATAGATACAGCGATAGCAGGCGGCTTGACGTTTGCGAGGCACTACACATCAAGAAGTCAACACCAGCAATCAACAGCCAATTATTGCACAACTATATTCTACCCACCTCAAGACTCCGCTCCAATATAGAAGCATCAAGAAATATGGACCAATAGGCTTTCTACAAACACTTCTATTCAATATCCATTGTTTCGTGTTCTGTCTTGTGTTGATACTTTTAATACCCTATTAATATCCTCTAATGCCACATCATCCTTCCCACCTCACTCAAATGTAATGCCACATCACCCTTCCCACCTCACTCAAAAGTAGATATAAAATCAGGGAAATGCAAGTTCTAATCAGTTGTGTATTTGTGAAGTCTTTGAAAATGTAATAAGTTTACGAAACGCGCCCGTGTCGCGTCAGACTAGAAATAAAAATGAATTTTGGAGAAGTGATTTTTGATTTACCTCCAACAGTGAAGCATAATGTACGAAAGATTGAGAAAATTCGTGTTAGAATTATTAATCTTACTTTTTCGGTCATATTTAATAAAATATATATATATATATATATATATATATATATATATATATATATGCGAACAAGCCTGAATGTGTTCCTCACGTGTGCCCCAAAGAATGAGGTGATTTGGTAAAATGCTATGCCCAAGATTACTATCCGAGTGCCGGCGGTGGGGTGGTTCAAATAGCCTCGGCTATCACCTCATTTTGTCCGGTCGTGATGGTCAAGTGGATTAAGGCGTCTTGTACATACCAGTTGCGTTGCTCCTGGGAGTATGGGTTCGAGTCACTTCTGGGGTGTGAGTTTTCAGTATATATATATATATATATATATATACTGTGGTTACTCTCGTAAAGGCCACGTCTATGGTAGAAAATAATACTACTAATAAATGTATATGAAATGGCTCTGTGTGTAGTCTTACGGGACATGAAAGATCAAGGAGACCATCAAGACCTTCATCATCTCCTCACCATCATGAGGGCCTCGGGGGTGAGGGCCTCGGGGGTGAGGGCCTCGGGAGTGAGGGCCTCGGGGGTGAGGGCCTCGGGGGTGAGGGCCTCGGGGGTGAGGGCCTCGGGGGTGAGGGCCTCGGGAGTGAGGGCCTCGGGGGTGAGGGCCTCGGGGGTGAGGGCCTCGGGGGTGAGGGCCTCGGGAGTGAGGGCCTCGGGGGTGAGGGCCTCGGGAGTGAGGGCCTCGGGGGTGAGGGCCTCGGGGGTGAGGGCCTCGGGGGTGAGGGCCTCGGGGGTGAGGGCCTCGGGGGTGAGGGCCTCGGGGGTGAGGGCCTCGGGGGTGAGGGCCTCGGGGGTGAGGGCCTCGGGGGTGCCAGGGCCTCGGGGGTGAGGGCCTCGGGGGTGAGGGCCTCGGGGGTGAGGGCCTCGGGGGTGAGGGCCTCGGGGGTGAGGGCCTCGGGGGTGAGGGCCTCGGGGGTGAGGGCCTCGGGGGTGAGGGCCTCGGGAGTGAGGGCCTCGGGGCAGGTCAAGACACTGACCTCATTATTCTGCTGCTCTCCACACTACACTGTTGAAGGCTCCTGGATAAGTACCCCTGGGGTGTACTGGTGGTACTGGGGTGTGTTGCTGTCCCCGGGGGTGTACTGGTGGTACTGGGGTCTGTTGCCGTCCTCGGGGGTATAGGGGTAGTACTGGGAGTGTACTGGTGGTACTGGGGTCTGTTGCCGTCCTCGGGGGTATAGGGGTAGTACTGGGAGTGTACTGGTGGTACTGGGGTCTGTTGCCGTCCTCGGGGGTATAGGGGTAGTACTGGGAGTGTACTGGTGGTACTGGGGTCTGTTGCTGTCCCCGGGGGTATAGGGGTAGTACTGGGAGTGTACTGGTGGTACTGGGGTCTGTTGCTGTCCCCGGGGGTATAGGGGTAGTACTGGGAGTGTACTGGTGGTACTGGGGTGTGTTGCCGTCCCCGGGGGTGTACTGGTGGTACTGGGGTGTGTTGCTGTCCCGGGGGTGTACTGGTGGTACTGGGGTGTGTTACCGTCCCCGGGGGTGTACTGGTGGTACTGGGGTGTGTTGCCGTCCCCGGGGGTGTACTGGTGGTACTGGGGTGTGTTGCTGTCCCCGGGGGGTGTACTGGTGGTACTGGGGTGTGTTGCTGTCCCGGGGGGTGTACTGGTGGTACTGGGGTGTGTTGCTGTCCCCGGGGGTGTACTGGTGGTACTGGGGTGTGTTGCTGTCCCCGGGGGTGTACTGGTGGTACTGGGGTGTGTTGCTGTCCCCGGGGGTGTACTGGTGGTACTGGGGTGTGTTGCTGTCCCCGGGGGTGTACTGGTGGTACTGGGGTGTGTTGCTGTCCCCGGGGGTGTACTGGTGGTACTGGGGTGTGTTGCTGTCCCCGGGGGTGTACTGGTGGTACTGGGGTGTGTTGCTGTCCCCGGGGGTGTACTGGTGGTACTGGGGTGTGTTGCTGTCCCCGGGGGTGTACTGGTGGTACTGGGGTGTGTTGCTGTCCCCGGGGGTGTACTGGTGGTACTGGGGTGTGTTGCTGTCCCCGGGGGTGTACTGGTGGTACTGGGGTGTGTTGCTGTCCCCGGGGGTGTACTGGTGGTACTGGGGTCTGTTGCTGTCCCCGGGGGTGTACTGGTGGTACTGGGGTCTGTTGCTGTCCCCGGGGGTGTACTGGTGGTACTGGGGTGTGTTGCTGTCCCCGGGGGTGTACTGGTGGTACTGGGGTCTGTTGCCGTCCCCGGGGGTGTACTGGTGGTACTGGGGTGTGTTGCTGTCCCCGGGGGTGTACTGGTGGTACTGGGGTGTGTTGCCGTCCCCGGGGGTGTACTGGTGGTACTGGGGTGTGTTGCTGTCCCCGGGGGTGTACTGGTGGTACTGGGGTGTGTTGCTGTCCCCGGGGGTGTACTGGTGGTACTGGGGTGTGTTGCCGTCCCCGGGGGTGTACTGGTGGTACTGGGGTGTGTTGCTGTCCCCGGGGGGTGTACTGGTGGTACTGGGGTGTGTTGCCGTCCCCGGGGGTGTACTGGTGGTACTGGGGTGTGTTGCTGTCCCCGGGGGTGTACTGGTGGTACTGGGGTGTGTTGCTGTCCCCGGGGGTGTACTGGTGGTACTGGGGTGTGTTGCTGTCCCGGGGGTGTACTGGTGGTACTGGGGTGTGTTGCTGTCCCCGGGGGTGTACTGGTGGTACTGGGGTGTGTTGCTGTCCCCTGGGGTGTACTGGTGGTACTGGGGTGTGTTGCTGTCCCCGGGGGTGTACTGGTGGTACTGGGGTGTGTTGCTGTCCCCGGGGGTGTACTGGTGGTACTGGGGTGTGTTGCTGTCCCCGGGGGTGTACTGGTGGTACTGGGGTGTGTTGCCGTCCCCGGGGGTGTACTGGTGGTACTGGGGTGTGTTGCTGTCCCCGGGGGTGTACTGGTGGTACTGGGGTGTGTTGCTGTCCCCGGGGGTGTACTGGTGGTACTGGGGTGTGTTGCTGTCCCCGGGGGTGTACTGGTGGTACTGGGGTCTGTTGCTGTCCCCGGGGGTGTACTGGTGGTACTGGGGTCTCTTGCTGTCCCCGGGGGTGTACTGGTGGTACTGGGGTCTGTTGTCGTCCCCGGGGGTGTACTGGTGGTACTGGGGTCTGTTACCGTCCCCTGGGGTATAGGGGTAGTACTGGGAGTGTACTGGGAGTGGTGTAACTATGGAAGCATTACGCGTCGTGTGGCTGACTGGAGTAAGGGGCCACGACACTGCTCTACGAGATCAACAAAGACCCAAATATTCATCCAAACTGATGATGGTAACAGCCAAACTGTAACAGCTAAACTACCGTCACTGTTAACGACAATTCCCGCTCCATATCTAACGTTGGATGAACTAATGATTTCAGAAAAATGAGCCCAAATACAGTGGATATAAGTGTACACATCTGAAGAACTGTTGGCAGAATCCCAAAGGTGAGTTTGACTCATGACACATATCATGAATGCACTAATTCACATCTCAAACATTCAGTGAATTATTCGTGGCGTCATTCATCCGTCAGATTAGTCGGATGATTGACGATACAATTGCATAGTTTGGTTGGGCTGAAGGCCCCTTCAACCTCTGGAGTGGTCATGTCCACCACCGGTAATTACTGACCAGACGGCAAGTATAATTCAGTCCAAGCTTAAGTCCAGGACTAAACTCTCAGTGTATATAGAGAGTTTAGAATGTAATGTATTTCCGAGAAGCAGAAATACATTCCTTGATGAAACCGGAGTAATGTGTGAGGCTGAATCTTGCTAGCCCGGAGAGGTCGCCTCCGGTGCCTCCGGTCAGTCGTGCAAGACATCTCGCTCACCTTGAACTTGTCGTGCATGAAGCTAGGCCAGGGGGGCAGGCTAGGCCAGGGGGGCAGGCTAGGGCAGGGAGGCAGGCTAGGGCAGGGGTGGCAGGCTAGGCCAGGGAGGCAGGCTAGGGCAGGGAGGCAGGCTAGGGCAGGGAGGCAGGCTAGGCCAGGGAGGCAGGCTAGGGCAGGGAGGCAGGCTAGGCCAGGGGGGCAGGCTAGGGCAGGGAGGCAGGCTAGGGCAGGGGGGCAGGCTAGGGCAGGGAGGCAGGCTAGGCCAGGGAGGCAGGCTAGGCCAGGGAGGCAGGCTAGGGCAGGGAGGCAGGCTAGGCCAGGGAGGCAGGCTAGGCCAGGGAGGCAGGCTAGGCCAGGGAGGCAGGCTAGGCCAGGGAGGCAGGCTAGGCCAGGGAGGCAGGCTAGGGCAGGGAGGCAGGCTAGGCCAGGGGGGCAGGCTAGGGCAGGGTGGCAGGCTAGGCCGGGGGGCAGGCTAGGGCAGAGAGGCAGGCTAGGGCAGGGGTGGCAGGCTAGGCCAGGGGGGCAAGCTAGGCCAGGGAGGCAGGCTAGGGCAGGGAGGCAGGTTAAGGCAGGGGGCAGGCTAGGGCAAGGTGGCAGGCTAGGCCAGGGAGGCAGGCTAGGGCAGGGAGGCAGGCTAGGCCGGGGGTGGCAGGATAGGCCAGGGAGGCAGGCTAGGGCAGGGAGGCAGGCTAGGCCAGGGGTCGCAGGCTAGGCCACGGAGGCAGGCTAGGGCAGGGAGGCAGGCTAGGGCAGGGTGGCAGGCTAGGGCAGGGGGCAGGCTAGGCCAGGGAGGCAGGCTAGGCCAGGGGGGCAGGCTAGGGCAGGGTGGCAGGCTAGGGCAGGCTTGGCCAGGGAGGCAGGCTAGGCCAGGGAGGCAGGCTAGGCCAGGGAGGCAGGCTAGGCCAGGAAGGCAGGCTAGGGCAGGAAGGCAGGCTAGGGCAGGGAGGCAGGCTAGGCCAGGGAGGCAGGCTAGGGCAGGCTTGGCCAGGGAGGCAGGCTAGGCCAGGGAGGCAGGCTAGGCCAGGGAGGCAGGCTAGGCCAGGGTGGCAGGCTAGGCCAGGGAGGCAGGCTAGGCCAGGGAGGCAGGCTAGGCCAGGGTGGCAGGCTAGGCCAGGGAGGCAGGTTAGGCCGGGGAAGGCAGGAGAGGCCTGCCTCATAGACATCTCTCTCCACCTGTTCATCTCATTCACTTGTTCTTCTTAAACTAAGACTATAACTAAGGACGCAAACTAAGCTTCTGGTTTGCGTAATGTCGCGTCATTCCCACTCCTCCATCCCAGCATTAAGAATAATAATATATATATATATATATATATATATATATATATATATATATATATATATATATATATATATATATATATATATGTCGTACCTAGTAGCCAGAACGCACTTCTCGGCCTACTATGCAAGGCCCGATTTGCCTAATAAGCCAAGTTTTCCTAAATTAACATATTTTTCTCTAATTTTTTCTTATGAAATGATAAAGCTACCCATTTCATTATGTATGAGGTAATTTTTTTTTATTTGAGTTAAAATTAACGTAGATATATGACCGAACCTAACCAACCCTACCTAACCTAACCTAACCTATCTTTATAGCTTAGGTTAGGTTTGGTAGCCAAAAAAGTTAGGTTAGGTTAGGTTAGGTAGGTTAGGTAGTCGAAAAACAATTAATTCATGAAAACTTGGCTTATTAGGCAAATCGGGCCTTGCATAGTAGGCCGAGAAGTGCGTTCTGGCTACTAGGTACGACATATATATATATATATATATATATATATATATATATATATATATATATATATATATATATATATATATATATATATATATATATATATATATATATAAAGGGGAGCGGTGTAAATTGGAGGAGTTTGGGCGCTTTTAAGTGGCCAGAGTGTTGACGTGTATGATGTGACCCAAGGTGGCACAGGCCAAGTGCGCAACCGCAAGGTGACTGTCACACTGCGCACCAGCATTCACTTCCCGGATGTTGCACACACGCACACACACACACACACACACACACACACACAC